ACACACCAAAAGAGGTGTCATAAAAACTTCAGCAGCCAAAATGGGCTTTTTGACTCAATATAAATAACTTCCTTTCTCTCTTTCACAATTTGAGCAAAATACTCCATTTAAAAAATATTATTTTGAACCAAAATACCCTGGATAATAACAAAACAAAAACTCAAACAGAAGATTTTTCAGACTTTTCAGTTACAGTTATATCCCTATCAGTGATTATAAGTATCATATATATATATATATATATAAAAGAAAGAAAAATCAGAAAAAGGAAAATAAGTGATCAATAATAATAATATAATAATAAAAAATAATAATATCATAATAAAATATGCCCAGACGAAATATAAAAATGTCCTCAAGTTCTCCAAACTTGTAGAGTTTCCAGAAAATAATCTCCTAGGGTAGATCTTATGTCCAGTGAAAAACAACTAGATGTTCTTCAATTGCCAGCAAACTACCTCTAATCGTTTACTTTTACTTTTTCACAGCCTGTAATTCTATGTGTGCTGTTTCAAAATCACTACAAAAGGTACAAGAACTCACAGACAAACATTTACCAAAAAATAAATAAATAAGTAAAAAAAAAAAAAAGAAGAAAAACATGACTTCTTACTGTATTGACAGTTTCTTCCCATGTATTCTCCCGGGCATTCACAGGAATAGTTGGCAACCAGATCTGTGCAAATTCCCCCATTCTTACATGGATCCCTTTCACATTCGTTAATATCTAGAATAGACGAGACACATAAAAAATAAATAAATGAATAAAAAGAATGAAAGCTTTGATAAGGACTTGGACAATTACAAAGAACCTCATCCTCATTGGAATGTGTCAGCTGTTAGCGAATATCAGATTTTCCCTGTGAGGCTCAAACAAAGACACAGCTTTCCTGAAAACGAATAAATCAAAAGCTCTGGAGGACATTGATGCTGCAACACATACTTAGCACAGATTCTGGTGTGAGGAACAATTAACCTGGGGAACCTTTCCTGTGGTTTTAAACAAATACTTTCTGACTTGAACTTTCTGACTTGAACTTGAATGGCGCAACTCAAGGTAAGGCTCAAGTTAGGTTGAGAGTTTGTTAATATCAGAGAAACAGAATAAAATAAAAATAAAAAACATGTAAAAAATATATAATTCTGTAGTATGTAGTAGTGACCATATACTGTTCGAATTTAATCATATTGTGATTAAATTCACAACATTGTGTCATAGAGCTGCATTTATTTATTCAGTACCCACACATATCATGTATATTTTAAGTATGTTAAGCTTATATGAGCAAATATATATTTCATGTTTTCAGTGTAGGTAACTCACATAAGCCTGATCATTTGAATGGTAGCTCCCAAGCCTAGTGTAGGCACCCCTGGTTTAGAGAGTTATTTTAACATTAGTGTAATGTTACAAAAATAATCAAGTCAAGTCAGTGTGAAATACAACATAAACAACACAAAGCGTTTTAATCTTTTCTGTCAAAGTTTATTTGATTTCTTTAAAAAGAAAAATGAATTAGAAAATCAGTCTCAGCAACACAAAAATATCCCCCTTGACCAGAACGTTAGAAGTTAATCTGTTTAATGACAAATCAGATGCTTCTGTCAGAACCTTTTTTAAATGTCGCAGGGTTAATTTCTACATTTTTCTAAATTCTAATTCATGGCTGCAGAGTAAAAAAAGATTGACCACATTTCTTGTTCTTTTTTCAGTAAGTAAAATATTTGACTTTTCATTACTATTTTGGGGTGGGGGTGGGGGGCAAGAGCCTCACCATGAATATGATTTCATTCATTTGGAAATGTATTTTTAACCAAAAGGTGAGATTAGTTTCAATATGGAGATTTCCATACCCAGACCATTAAGGTTTGAATCAAGCTGAATGTTGAATTCCTAGCTCTGGGGGATTTAGGAGGGGTATTCAGAGTAAACAATGTCAGAGAGAAGAACTGTAGTGATAAACCGACTCACAATAATTATGATTTTCTTTGATAGAGACATCAGCTATAAACAGAACTAAATACAATACTTTTTACCCAGCGTTGCAGTTTAAAAATTGTACAATGCTACTTTTAGGTTTAGGTATTCAATTAGACTTTAGAATTAGAATTTACTAGAAATTATTCATGAATCAGACATTCAAAGTTACGTTTTTTAAGTTTTTCTTAAAAAACACAACAACACATTTGAGCGGATATGGTAATAGGCATTGACAAGGACACGTCAAAGAATCACCAGCTTCTCTGCTGCTCTCTTGCTTGGTACTGTAATTGTTCCCTGAAATGCAGTTTCTCTAATTGATTCATACTAACAGTTAGAGAAGGTGACATGCACTCAACCCTCTCTGCACAGAGAACTTTCCTGCTGCTGTTAGATACTACAGATACAGTGGAAAGGAAGGAAACAGCAGGGAAGGTTTGGAAGAAGATAGAGGGATAACTGCAAACTTTGAAACATTTCATAACACATTTCACAAATTCTCCTTTCCCTTTTACTCGCCCTTGGCAGCAGCAAGACGTTTAATCATCTTAAGAAAACACACACCTTCGGTTGCCTGTGACTGTAAGTCTGAGTGTCATGAATATGTAACTAGAGTCAGGATTTAAACAGCTTCAGAATGTGAAACATGATTAAGGTAAGTCTGTTATGAGGTTTCATTTTCTGGGAAGTTGGAGCAATAAAATCTGAGAAAGTCATTGGAGCAGATTCTTACAATATGTCTTTAGTTACTCCGTGAAGCTCTAATGACTGTGGAAAATGCTGAAATGATTTTTACATACAGGTGTCTGAGGTGCTATGACAGAGAGCAATGTTTTTTTTTTATTTTTATTATTTGCAGCAGAGCAGAAAAAATTGAGTGAAAAGAAAATGTAAATAAAAAACATTGCAGCAAAGGAGAAAAATGCAGGATTATATTGATTATTATTTATATTGATTCAAAAACAAAATGGATGACTAACATGATTACTATGCCTGGGTAAAGGTTGTGGATGAAAATGTTTGGTAAAACCGTTTTAACAGACAAAAAACAGGATTTCAACTGAAGATGTCAGAAAAATTAATTTTTTTTTTTTGACTATCAGATTTGGAAGAAAAGGAGAAGTTCTGGAAGGAGCTAGATTGGATGATAGAGTGGTGATTGGAGCAGACCTAAATGATCATGTAGGGGAAGGGAACAAAGGAGATGAGGAAGTGATAGGTAGGTTTGGTGTTAGGGAGAGAAACTTGGAAGGACAGGCAGTGGTAGATTTTGTGTAGAGAATGGAAATGGCTGTGGTAAACATCTATTTCCAAATAAGAAAGAAGAACACAGGGTGACTTACAAGAGTGGAGGCAGGTCCACACAGATAGATTATATTCTATGTAGAAGATGTAATCTGAGGGAGATTAGAGACTGCAAGGTGGTGGCAGGCGAGAGTGTAGCCAATCAACATCGGGTGGGAGGGTGCAAAATGACGATGGAGGGGAAAAAAAAGGAAGAGA